AAATAGAGACGAAATTAAGTCACCTTTAGGTGGCTGTGGCCGTTCTATTGGAGGTCCCGTGACAGGTCGCTTGCTATTTATGGTTGCTTCCCACCGTATAGTAAACATCACATGTGCAGGATTGGCATGGGACGATTGTCTTAATGACGACTGATGCCAATCGGATCAAATGTCCGACCTAGCTGTTCATCACAAATAATGACTTCTATGGAGCGGACGCTACATCAGTAACATGTACGTGAATTACTTTACAGTTAGGCAGGTGCGGACACAGTAGGTGGCAAGGCTAAAAGGCTCGTCTGCGCGTCCCAAACATTACCTGGTTTTCACCCCACGTATCAGATTCCCCCAAGTGCGGGTGCCAAGGAGTCATTTCACAGCCTAACTTAACCTGCAGATATACTAAAGACCCGTTTGCAGACTTGCAGCGGAGGCGCCGGATCACAGAACGGGTGTATGCATCACGTACGCGTAAGCATGATTCGCTGACGTAACATCATGCCGTCAAATTAATGAGCACAAAAAATCACACCTCCATACAAGAATTGTACCCTCCTGATGAACGCCGCTGTGCTCTCAGTCATTCTGCCTAAATTCAATTGTCTCCAAGACGTGAACCAAACAGTCACGACTCGATTAATCCACTACACTGAACTGTGACGCTGTTACGAAAACTAAATAACACTGGAAATTCAGTTAAACAGGTAGGAGAGGGGGTACCTTGCAGTCCTGGGCTTTCGGGGACTGTTCTTTGAGAGCTTTTCGGCGAGCCCTTTGGTCGAGAGCTGTGGGACAGAAGCGAAATCACCATCTTCTGTTTTCGGAGCTTCGGGAGGCGAATCCACCTCCATCGTGGAGGGGGGAGAGTCCGCTTCCTTCTTCTTTGCGGTGGTTGGACTACTGGCTTCTTCCAGGGTACGAATCTTAGCCTTCTTGGTATTTAGCAGGGCAGCAAACACGGCGTACAGGTGTTCCTCCTTACGGCTAACCTCTACAACAACATCAGAGTATTTCTGTGGCAAAGGACGATTGTTTACACGTATTAGGCATACCTGCACGGCGGTTTCGGCCACCGACCGGAGCTCCGAATTCTCTTTCCGAAGGTTGGATATCTCTTGGCGTTGAGAAGAGAGGCAGTCTTTACACAAACTCAGTATCTGAGGAACGCCAACTTCCAAAGAACCTGCTTTTTTAAGGCAGAACTCACCCCTGATGACCTGCCAGACGTTCAGTTGTAGGAACTACGTACCTTTAAGCCGTCAGCAAGGCTCTGTGACCACGTAACACGCACCTCAGGGCCAGCAGTGGATAAGGCAAAGGAGACCGTTTGGTTGGTTTGGTCGTCAAATGCAGCCACAAGGTCAGACATGTAATCTGCCGACTCTGAACTGTTTTTCGTGGGGAACTGCCTAACAACATCAGCTAGGTCTAGAAATAGAACATTTCAAGGCATTGCCAAACCGAAGGAGGCTTCCCAATAATTTGCATCAGCGACAGCACAAATCCGAAAGCAGTCAGGCTGGTTACTGAATATTACAAGAGTTGCTTCCCCGACAGTGCGTATGGAGAGTGTAGGCATACTGCTGCCGGTTTCGAAACTAAAAGCGAAAGATACAAAGGGGGTGATAAGCGCTGTAGGTCATGAAAGAAGGGAGGAGACTGTGTATACGCGAAAGTAACTTCATATTAGAGAAATGGTGAGATGTTGTTTCTTTAAATGCCATGAAAATTGAGGGCGCTTTGGAGTCTGAACACATTTGAGGTAATTATTAGATTACAGCGGACAAGCTATCGGGTATTGCCAATAACTACGAACTCGGTGCTTATACCACTCTATCAATCACTTTTTTTCAAGTCTGTTCAACATCATTTTAACGTCAACACGTCAAGGGTTATAGGTCATCATGCTTTGGCATCAACAGAGCAATATCGTCAAGGCGGTCAGCCTTAATATAAATCGCACACAACATTTTTGGGGACTAAGTTAAGAGCGAACCTAATTAAGATAGAAGACAGGGTGAATCGTCCCCGGACGCTTGGCCAAATATTAAGGGAAGGATAATTGTTGTAACGGCGGCCAAGGCTGCAATATTCGCCGTCTAACTACGCCTCGTGTGAGCCCCAAAG